GGTCTTTAGAAAATACAGACAGATCACGTCAAGCCCCTTATAAGGCCCTTGGGCACCCCCACTGCACCCTGGCTGGGCACCAGGCTCTGGTGGTCACACCTGCTGTGCCCTCCGGCCACTGGCCATCTCTAAGTGTCCCATGGAGTGTGCATTCCAGGCAGGGAAGCTGGCTCTAACATACTGGGGGGGGGGGGGGTTTCAACCCCAGGAGGATGTAGCAGCGTGAGGGTGATGGGCATGTGACTTCCCAGAGAGGCCAAAGGCGGCCTCTGAGAGGACGATGTTTGGGGGGATCCTGGGAGATGGGGGAAGGAGGCCAGTTAAAGACCTGGGAAAGAGCCGAGGGAACAGTAAGTACTGGCAAAGTGAGGCTAATGTCCACGGCATTGTGCCAGCTCATCACCCGCCCGCCCGGCACTGCCGTTACTGTACCTGGGACTGCTGTGTCCGGACCACCGGCCTCTGCTGTGCTGTGTGAAGGTCGTGGAGGCCGGGGCGTGGGCACATGGGGCAGCACTGTCCAGCTGCCTGCCTGTGGCTGCTCCTACCTCCGCGTCACTTTTGGCCCATGCCTCCTCCCTGGTCTTGTGAGCAGATCAAGGAAGGCGGTTTGACCTCTCTCTGCCTGGGGCTTAGATCTCTTAGGCCTGGACACTGGGGTCGGAATGGGGGGTGCTGGCCTTGGGTAGAGAAGGGCCAGCGACACCGAGTGCAGGCGACAGCCAGGTGTCCTCCTCCTACTGGTAGCTCCGTTTTCAGTGGCTTCTGCTGCTAATTTTTGGTCCTTTTGGCACTACCCTGTCACCTTTTCTGGTTTCCAGTTCTTGAGAGGCACGTGGCCTCCTGCTTAGGAGCTACCCAGCCTAGACGGTCTCCCAGCCCCGCATCTCGCTAGCTGCATGGCTTCTGCGAGGGACTTAACCTTTGCCCTTCTGCACCTTTCCTTCCCTCAGGTATGAGGTGCTTAAATATCCTTCTTCTTAGGACTGTTGTGATATATATATATATATGTATATATATACACATACATACATATATACATACATACACACACACACACACACACACACACACATATACACACACTAGAGGCCCGGTGCACAAAAATTTGTGCACTCTGGGGGGGGGGGGTCCCCTCAGCCCGGCCTGTGCCCTCTTGCAGTCTGGGACCCCTCGGGGGATGACCACCTGCTGGCTTAGGCCCGTTCCCTGGGGGGATTGGGCCTAAGCTGGCAGTCAGACATCCCTCTGGCAGCCCGGGAGCCCTCGGGGGATGTCCACTTGCCAACAGAGAGCAGGCCTAAGCTGCAGTCAGACATCCTTAGCGCTGCTGAGGAGGCGGGAGAGGCTCCCACCACCACCACTGTACTGGCAGCCATCAGCCTGGCTTGTGGCTGAGCAGAGCTCCCCCTGTGGGAGCATACTGACCACCAGGGGGCAGCTCCTGCATTGAGCATCTGCCCCCTGGTGGTCAGTGTGTGTCATAGTGAAAAGTCATTCCAGTCGTTCTGCTGTTAGGGTCAATTTGCATATTACCCTTTTATTATATAAGATAGAGCCCTGGTGCATGGGTGGGGGCTGCTGGTTGCCCTGAAGGGTGTCCTGGATCAGGGTGTGGGTCCCGCTGGGGTACCTGGCCAGCCTGGGTGAGGGGCTGAGGGCTGTTTGCAGGCTGGCCAAGCCCCCCAGTGGGGATCCTCACCCCTTGAGGGTGTGGCCAGCCTGGGTGAGAGGCTGATGGCTATTTGCAGGCTGGCCACAGCCCCTTCAGGGTGGGGGTTCCCGCTGGGTTGCCTGGCCAGCCTGGGTGAGGCGCTGATGGTTGTTTGCAGGCTGGCCACACCCCCTTCAGGGTGGGGGGGTCTTGCTGGGGTGCCTGGCCAGTCTGGGTGAGGGGCTGATGGCTGTTTGCAGGCTGGTCAAGCCCCCCAGCGGGGACCCTCACCCCATGAGGGTGCCTGGCCAGCCTGGGTGAGGGACTGATGGCTGTTTGCAGGCTGGCAGTGGCCCCCAGCCACCCAAGCTCCCAGTGGAGGCTGGCTGGAAGCAGGTATCTGGGATTTATTTATCTTCTATAATTGAAACTTTGTTGCCTTGAGTGGAGGCTACAGCTGGCCAGGGCAGATGGGAAGCTTGGCTTCCTCCATCGCCAGGGCAACCAAGCCTCCTGCTTGTTCCAGCTCTGGCTGCCGGCCACCATCTTGGTTGGGTTAATTTGCATATAGTTGCTCTCATTGGCTGGTGGGCGTGGCTTGGGGTGTAGCGGAGGTGCAGTCAATTTGCATGTTTCTCTTTTATTAGCTTAGATGCCTAAGTGACTGGTTGACCAGGACCGAAAGTAGCTATGACACACACTGACCACCAGGGGGGCAGATGCCAAGCACAGGAGCGGAAACCACAGGCGTGGAAACATGGAACAGACTGATGACTCTCAGAGGAAAGGAGGGAGGGGGGAGGGCGGGAAGAGATTAACCAAATATCTTATATGCATACTAGAGCAGCGGTCGCCAACCGGTGGTCCACAGACCACTGGTTGTCTGTGGGGTCCGAAAGGTTGGCGATCGCTGGTTTAAGGAAACATTTGGAGCAGCGGTCGCCAACCGGTGGTCCGAGGACCACTGGTGGTCCATGGGGTCCGAAAGGTTGGTGACCGCTGTACTAGAGGCCCGGTGCACGGTGCCCTCTCGCAATCCAGGACCCCTCAGGGGGATTATCAGAGAGTCGGGTTCGGGCCCAATCCCCTGCAGGACAGGGCCAAGGGACCCCTCTGGTGGCACAAATCCGGTGCACCAGCCTTTTAGGTTGCTATATAACAAAACCACTTCCAAAGCATAGTGGCCTTTATGATAGAAAACCCTCCTTGTACCTTTGCTC